TAATATTCAATAATGTAAAAATTATATTGAATAATTTAATAAACAAACATGAAAATGTCGTGTGATTCTCATGCCAAAATATCTCCCTGTAATTCATTTCAAAAACTCTGTAACACAGTTATGATTGGCTATTGGATATATATTTGAGTCATAATCACAAAGCAGGATTTGTTTGCACAGGTAAAATCTGATTACGCCCTCTGGGTCACTCGGGATTAAACCTCAATATCAAAAGGATTAAATAATTATATAAAAAATATATAAGAATTATATTAAAAAAATAACATCAAAATGTCACGTTATTCTCTTATTAATGCTTTAATAAGATATTTAAGATCTCTCTGTGCCTATGGGGGATCTTTGTTTATTTGATGAGTAGGCCTATGTGCTTGTTTTAAAAGAGAATAATTGATTAAATAATTAGATAGAATAAATATATAATATTCAATAATGTAAAAATTATATTGAATAATTTAATAAACAAACATGAAAATGTCGTGTGATTCTCATACCAAAATATCTCCCTGGATCTCCCTGTAATTAATTTCAAAAACTCTGTAACACAGTTATGATTGGCTATTGGATATATATTTGAGTCATAATCACAATGCAGGATTTGTTTGCACAGGTAAAATCTGATTACGCCCTCTGGGTCACTCGGGATTAAACCGGCCTCTCTCCACCCATAAAAACCCTCAAACAAACTCAGTTAATAAAATAACATTTACAGGAGCTTTATAATAGAATTTTGAGGCCAGACATTTACATATTAATAAGCTTCACCAAAGGAATTTGCGAAAGGACGAATTTTACAGTAATAAACAAAACATTCATGTTACCAATTTAATTCAGAAAGTTTGTCCATTGCGCCTCCATGTGGACGGTGTAAGGAAGAAAGTTGGCGCCTACATCTCCCAGAAGTACTTGCGCGTGACGTCACGGCCGCAGCAACAGGAAGTGCTCCAACTGAGCCGTTGCTGTAAGATAAGGTAAGCTTTTCTCTTCACTTAAAATTATTCGCGGTGTTATTCGGAAATATAACAAAACAAAAAGTGTTTTTGGCTTCGTATTCGTATTTATGTACATGGCCTAGTATTTTATTAAAACAACTGGCGTGTTTATTTATGCAGAAGCTAATGCTAGGCTTCTTCCAAAACATTTGACACTTAACGTTACCTTTCAGTTTTTCTGAAATCGAGACACATAATGTCTATAAATAATCCACAACATGACAGTAGTGGCAGGAAAGCAGCTTTCCAGTGATCTGATCATCTGTAGAGTATAAGATTAGCTTTCTGTTTTTTTCTATTCTATCTACTTGTTTTTCTTTGTGTGTGTAATATATATATATATATATATATACACACACCTTGCTACGTGTACTGCGTTAGGCTAACCGACACTTGTCATTTGCACTTATATATTGTTACTTTTATTGTCCTCATTTGTAAGTCGCTTTGAATAAAAGCGTCTGCTAAATGACTAAATAAATAAATAAAAAATAAATAAGATTGTATTTAGGAACCTGGGGCCAGTTGCATAGACATAGCCACTGTGTTAAGACTGTGTCTTAAGAACTAGTTTGACCAACTAGTTAGCCAAGAGGTAATCAGACTTACCTTTTGGATTCAAATGAGACCATTCTCCCTTTTTATAACTGACTTTAAGAAATTATGACCAGTCTTAAAGAGAAAAAATTAGATGACTAACTTTTTAAGTCTAGTCTAAGCGGTTTATGCAACCGGCCCCTGATCATGAGTTAAGTCACAGTCTTAAGTGTTTCTTGTGCTCTTCAGGAATGACCTGTACACTGGAGAAGGTGCTGGCCGATGCCAGATCACTGGTAGAGCGGCTCCGGGATCATGACGGTGCTGCTGAGACCCTGATCGAACAAAACACACTGCTGAACAAGAGAGTGGAGGCCATGAAACAGGTATCAGTGTTTGTTCTCAGTCTGTCTAATGAACCAAATCACACTAATGAATCAAGTCTTACCCACACATTTCTTGTTCTTTCAGTACCAGGATGAGATTGAGGTGTTGAACCAGGTGGCGAGGCATCGGCCGCGATCCACGTTGGTCATGGGCATCCAGCAGGAAAACCGGCAAATATGGGAACTGCAGCAGGAAAACAAAGGTGTTAGGAGGGTTTGCAATTAAAAGTTGTCGCTGGATGTCATTTTGAGGGCTGTTTTAAATCTAAATCCGCACGCTTGTCTCGGCAGAGCTGCGCACGTCACTGGAGGAGCATCAGTCTGCGCTGGAGCTCATCATGAGCAAATACAGAGAGCAGGTGTTTCGCCTTCTGATGGCCAGCAAGAGAGACGATCCTGCTATCGTCACCCAGCTCAGAGAACAGCACACTAATGTCAGTCCCAGTGACGGATTTTATGAGATTCCCTCTAATGCTGGTGCTCAAATAGGCATTTAATGTGTTTATGTCGCAGGAGATGCAGGCGCACATTGAGAAAATAAACGAAATGGCCACAGTGATGAGGAAAGCCATCGAGGTGGATGAAGGGCGACTGAGTGAGGATGAGGAGAGAATCAAACGTCTGAAGGTCAGACACACTAACTATACTGCAATAGGAGTCAGCGATCTGACCAATAATTTAGTTCACAATATGAGTCATTTTATTTCACAAGTTATTTTTTATATTTTATCTTATATTCTTTATTAAAAATAAGAACAAAGATGCAAAAATACAATATGAGAAATCTACAAATGACAGTGTATATTAGGCTGCTGTCACTGTATGCACAGTGCTTTTACTATTACTGATTACAAATTACATGAAGAAAATAGTAGTTAGTAGCATTATCTATTAGATAACACATTATAGTTCATGTAATCTGACTACTCTTGGGTTACATTTGTTTATCACATAGATTTCAATAGGAAAAACCTTGTACCATATTTATATATAAAAATACAAAGAGAAATAAGATATATTTCATTCAGTGTTATCAAAAACATGAAGTGCATTAAACATCACATTATGTAAGGGTTTCCTAACCTAGGGTTCGTGAAGGAACTGCAAGGAGTTTATGAGTTGATGAAAAGCTAGAAATGAATTAAAACATGTAAATGTACAAATAAATAACTTTAAATTAATCAAAATAAAACACTTACTAAAAAAATAACTATATTTTCTATAGTTTTAATTTATTATATAATTATAAAATATTTTTCTACATATTTTTTTAATATAAAATATTTTTTATTATATGTAATTATAAAAATGTTTTATATATATATATATATATATATATATTTATTTGTTTTTTTATTTTGTTTTGTTTTTGCAGGTTTGGTCCTCTATACTTATACACCTAAGTGTAATTATTGTTAAATTATTGAAACAATAAAATCGTAAAGTCTCGGGGTGATTGGGTAAAGTAAATATTTAATATTTTAGGTTTTAAGGGGTTTGGCTGACAAAAAAGTTAATTACTGCCATTGTGTGAATAATATGTAATCAATAAAAAAAGTACTGTAGTCTGATTATTTTAATATTTTTATTTTAACTGATTATTATTTTGAGTATTTTAAAACATAATTTTTCATTTTCATTTTATTTCATTTATCTCATTATTGAGTATTTAAAAATGTAATATTATTTATTTTTTTATTTATCTGAATATTATTTTATTATTGAGTATTTTAAAACATATTAAGTTACAAGTACTACACAATCCACATCACATATAATCAGTTACTACCCAGCACGATATATATGGTCATACCGCCCAACCCTATAGTGTGATAAATGCAATACTTACAATGTAATTGTGATCTTATGGTTTATATGTTGATTGTGCAGCTGGAGAACAGCGGTCTGCGAGAGCTGTTGGGAATCAGCCGCGAGGCGTTTCTGGTGCTGAAGCGAGACGACACGTCTGACAGCACATTGCTCTCGCCGCTGCTCACCAGCACAGACGTCAGTCTGAGGAAGAGCTAAAGACCGTCAGAGACTCTTGAGTTTACAAACCATCGTTCAGAGCTGCCCTACAAATCCCACAATCCTCCATTACAGCACACGCTCACTGCGCAACCTGGATGTCCATCAGCCATTTAGCATGTGGGGTTTTGCAGGAAGGGCCTGTGGAATCTCTCAAACACTGAGGTCCGATTACTTTTCCAGCTCTCCATCATCATGTCTTCAGTCTGGAAAAGTCAAATCGACTGATTCAGCCACATGAAAACACAATCATTTGTGGAATAAAAAAAAAAAAAAGATTTGGCATATTGTAAATGATTACTTTACCTGAACGTGAGACTTTGGGAAATATCACAATGTGTCATTTTAATTTTTTTTGCTTGTGTTTTATGTGGGTATGAGAGGAAGTTTTATTGAAAGTGATTAAAAGCATTGAATGAACTGGCTGTGTTTTTCTTTAGTTCCATGGGTTGATAGTGTTGAATAAACTACTCTTCAGGTTTTACAACATCTATAATTTAGTGTATTCAAATGTCCAGCAGTGCATGTTATTGCATGCATAAGCACAAAATGCATTGCAAACGGTGCTTTATATTGACTTTAAGCTAATAATAAATCATATAAATGTACAATTAATATAATTTTAAAATAAAAACAAAAACTTACTAAAAATATGTATTTTAATATACAATATTTTTATATTAAATTATTTTAAATTACAAATATTTTAAAATTATTGTTAATTATATTTATGCAAAATCCAATGTGAAATGATTTTATTCACAATCTAATGAATTCCAGATGGATAAAATCAAGTCCTACCTGACATTTGTTTCATTTAATATAGTTTCAATCATAATTGTCACAAAATGCATTGCAAATGCTGTTTTATGTTGACTTTTAAGGCATCAAAGCAGTTTAGCATTATTAATAGCTCAATAAAACATTAATGACGGTTTGTCACATCAAACGTTCACACATTTCTCGCATTCAATAAAAACAAAACATCAGAGCTCTCATTCTAATCTGCCTCGGAATAGAAAACAATATCATTTAGGTGTTAAGGCACAAATGACAACTTTATTAAACATTTAATTATTTAGACAATTATTTAAATTTCATACAAAACAGAAATAATGCATACGGCTACCCCTTAAAAACAATTTTAACATCACTATATGTTTTAAATGCTTTAGCAAAAGTTTGCTTCTGTGAGAGACACAAAGATCACATGAAGAAACCCTGAGAGGATACTAGAACTGAATCGATGGATAATGCAAAACTACTGATTTTGCAAAGCTGGAGTCTGTCAAAGATCCAACTTGGGTTTGTGTCTCCACAAGAGCTACATATCCATTTATAAAGCACAGAAAATGACTGAAAAACTCCACAGATTCTCAAGATTCATCTTACACTGCACTTAAAATCCTCATTATCGAGTGTTTTACACCAGCGCAGTGAAGCAGCAGTCAAATTCCCACAGGATCGCTGTCAAAATAAGCTCATTATTTCTATCACGAACTCCAAACCTCGGTGAGGATCTGCCGGGACTCATACGAGCTCACTTAGACACAGAAAACACTCAAACATCAGCCGTAGAGGCTTACAGTGGCTACTAATGAACACCGGTTCATTGTCTTATACATTCATTTTAATGGTGAACATCTTTAAAAATCATTCATTCACTCATATACTAACCTGACGTAGTAAAAAAAAGTTTAAAAATCTGTACTGAATGTTTCCTCTAAGCTGCTAAAATGCATCTAAAATCACGCTGTGGCAGCTGATGTATATAGTAGAGGTCAGTTGCTTAACATTTATCTGAAAACAGCAATGGGATCAAGCACTGCTGGGAACCTACACAAACACACACACACACACACACACACACAAGTGCATAAAGTCAGTCTCACACTGTGTGTGAGCTGCTCTTTTAACCTCCATCGGCTGCTCATCTGAGTCTTTAGGCTCTAAAAATCGAGCTCAATCCTCATGTATGTTGCTCCACAGGCTTGAGCAGCCGTTATCTGGAGGAGAAGGACTAACAGTGAACTGACTTCAAGTCAAAGGTCAAAGGTTAAAGTAGTAGAGGTGTGGTTTCGCCGGCAGGTTCTGTGCGCTGTGTGAGCTGGTGAATACGTCCGAGGATTCGGGCTGATAAAGATGGCTTGTGGTGGCTGGGATCCAGAACGTTGGTCTTCCTGCGCTCTCGTTCTTGCTTCCACATGACGTATGGGCTTGGCGGGAAAAACGGACGTGATTTCTCCCGATACAGCTGCATGACGATCCCCAAAACCCCCAGAACGACCCACACAGTGATCATGATGAAATCTGGAGAGGCGAAACATCAGACATGACCAATACAATGATAAGTCTGAGCATCAGACCCAGGGATTAAAGCAAAAAAACTGTTTGACTGAAAACTGTTTTTAAGCTACATTATATTCCTTTAAACATCACTTTATTTAAAGGGGTGGTTGATTATGATTTCACTTTTTGAACTTTAGTTAGTGTGTAATGTTGCTGTTAGAGCATAAATAACGTCTGCAAAGTTACGACGCAAATGGAGATATTTTCTTTTAAAGAAATCGCTGTTTAAGGACTACAAAAAATGGCTGGTAGGGACTACAACAAGCTTCTTCCTGGGTTTGTGACATCACTAACCCCGATGTTTACATAAACCCCGCCCCCGGGAACACGCAACTACCCGTAATGGTAAGGGGGCGTGGCGTTTCCGAACAACGTGCACTAGGCAGTTAGTGAATCACAAACACACTGAGCCTGCTAACCAATCAGTGCCCATTGCGTATTTTTGAGGGAGGGGCTTCATAGAACCAGGAACTCAACAGACCGCTTTGACGAGAATGGAAACAGCGGTGTAGAATAAAGGTAAAATATGTGAAAATAATGCGTTTTTTTAAAAACGAAGCATGAACACGTGTTACACTGCACCCCATAAACACAATCAAGCTTTCGAAAAAAGCTGAAAAAATACTCGACCAATAAAAAGGAAAAAGAACTTTCCATGCCAGTTTGTGTAATTTCAAAGCTATTTTCAATCTATGAATCATTGTAATTACGATTATTAATGTTGATTAGTATAGTTTTTCGTGGGAAAACAGCACGTTTTCATATGCTGAACAGACAAAATGAGCTGAGAAAATCATTTATGAATTAGTTTGTGTTTTTATACATTAAAAAAATGAAGACTTCACAAAATCAAGACTTTAGCAACATTAAAAAAACCTATTTAAACTGGGAATAAATTGTATACAGAAAGCGAGCGAAGAACTTTTGCTCCACGTATAATAAAATACATAAATAAAATAATTTAATTAATTAATTAATACAATAATAATAATAAATTAATAAAATAAATAAACGTTTGAGCACTGAAGTGCTCCATGACTTCAGTTCAGCATGAGTTCTGTACTCTCACAAAAACTCCTGTTATAGTCAATGGAAAAGTCTACAAAATCTATGAATGAATTCAGTTGATCTTATTACACTGTTTTACATCCCTAGTAGCGACGGAGAACTTCACTCCCTGCACACCTACCGATATCCTGCAGCGGTACGGAGATAAACGCTCGGCTGAAGTTGTGGTTGAGGAGGCGTTTGAGGACATCCAGCGTGATGTAGGACAGACTGGTGTAAGTGTAGGCGTTGACGGCCAGGACCACTGCATACGCGCCAACCACACCACATGTAAATATATTGCCCTGAAACATACCGATAAACATGTACATTTTATTTGGGTGCCGGATATGAGCTCACATTAAATGTATATTTCTGTATCTCACCTCTCTAGGCCACCTGATGAAGAACAAAGGAACAAACACCATAATGCAAGCAAACACCACCCAGAACACCACATCATTATGGAATATAGGAAGATCACCTGGAGGAAAAAAAAGAGAGATTTAACACATTTTACCAGAGCTACAACTAATCGATCAAATCAATAGTTATCATCAATAATAATGAAAATGACAACTAAATTTAATGCATTTGAAATGTAGAGGACAAGCCAAGTTACATAGCGTTTTATGCAATATAGTTTGTTTCAAAGCAGCTTCGCTTTAATAAACAGGATCTTCATCAATTATGTAACATTAAATTTCAGCAGAAAAGCAGCTCTACAATAATGTCATTGTTCAGCTCAATGCAGTTCAACACTGGTGTTAATGTTACAAAGTTAATGTCATTTTCCGGCTCAATTCAGTTAAAATTTTGTTTTGTGTAAAACCCAAGTTATTCTAAACAAGAGACATGCTTTATATCGACATCTTCATGAAATGAAAATTCACCCAATCTATTTTCAAAATGCATGTTATAGACTATATTTTGAACAATTCATCCGTGCATGCATTTAATTAAAAAAAAGTTTTTGTACTCTTAGCATTTAATCAAAATGTCGTAACTGGACCTCTGGTGTCATATGCAGTACTTAGTCTGTTTAAAACTCCGCCTCTGCAAACTCACGTTCATCTGCATACACTTTTGAGTGCCACGCCCACATCTAAACATCCCATCAACAACTACAACTTGCAGCCCTACATTTCACCACCAAGAATATAAAGAGATTATAAAGAGATCATTCCGAACGGATGATGAAACAACATCCCGTTCACAATACAATCAGGATACATGCAGGTTTCAAACATGATTTCTTACCAAGTGGAGTGAAGAAGGCAATGGATGAGATGAGAAATCCAAGAATGAGTCCTACCACCAACACACAGACCATGACCGAACCAAACCGCCACCAGCTCATCACCATGGCCACGCCCCCGACCACGCCCATCAGCGCTGTCAGAGCCAATCGAACTGCAGAGAGACAGTCAGTCAACAAACTGTTTAAAGACACTCCAGGTGAAAAAGATACAATTATAACTAATAGATATCAGTTGACTAATCAGAGTAAACTAAAACAGTTGTTTTGCATTACAAATATTATAATATGAAAATGAGGCATTATATGCACTACTTTGCATAATTTTCCATAACCGAAAATTAAAACAGGTTTAAAATTATTGTTTCATTTTGTTGACACGAGTGATTTTGGATCTCTTTTTATCAATCTACAAATCAGAAAATACTGGCAACAGTCCGAAAAAAAAACCTTTTTCACCATGATTTAAGGAATAAAATCTTATATAGATCAGGAGAATGATATATGAACAAACCCCTTAGTAAAAACCTTCAGAATACAGATAGAAATAAAACTGTAAAGTTTGATGTAAGTGCTGCTGAAATGGGGAAAAACTCATTATGAGAAACAGCCTTTAAAGATACGCATTGCATTTCAAATCTACAGATGCAAATAGATAAAAAGTGCTATAGAATAAACATTTAAATGTGTATTTTGGATGTTTTCTATCCACTTAAGTCTGACAGAAGACAAGTTGTGGATGCAAAATAGCCCAAAATTGACCTGTGCATAAAAAAAAAAGGTTTTGCCTGTAATGTCTTGACTTTAAAAAGTGTTTTAAGAACAAACTTGAGCTACGATTGATCTGATTAATCAGCTGTAGGTTGAGTCATGAGTTGTTATCTATCTCAGAGAATCAAAAATGCTCTTCCTCCTTTCAGCCATGCCTGTCCTGTAAACACGCAAACAGCTGACAAACAGCTCTACACGATGCATTTGATTGGGACAGACTGGTTTGACACCTCCAGCTGAAATCCACAGCACATGATTTGAGCTGCAGCAGCATGACTCTAATCTTCAGAGAGTTACGGCACAACAAAAACCTCAGAGCTGCTTTCTGCACTCGTGACAGCTAATGAGATTCATTGCTGCCAGAACCAGTTTGTGTAGCCAATTTCAGTCAAATTAAACTTGAAAAACATTGGAAAAACTCGACTTCTGGGGACATGAACTATTTATGGGTTTGCAGACATCAGCTCAGTGTAAACGCTACAAATCATTTAACATGAAACTCTATCTAAGAGGTGATCAGAAACTTTTTAGAAACGGGTTTAGACAGACACTAGTTGTTTTGGTCTAATTTTACAGTGATTCACTTCATGTGTAACTCCGCATTGGTGACTGTAATGGACTCACTGTCGTATTCCAGCGCTGTGGTTCTGGTGATCAGAACAAAGAAGATAAACGCCATAAAGCAGAATCCCATACAGAACAGCTCTGAGAAGACACAGAAATAGACATTTTAATGGTAACATTAGGTGTGTTACATGCACCAATCTCCATCAGAATCAGTCTTATTTTAGTATCTCTACTATTATAGTTTTTATTCATATTTTGAATGTTTTTCTTTTTTAAATATTCGCTTTCATTTTAATTGTCGTTAAATTTTTCGTTATATAAACTAAATGAAAATAAGAAATGTTGCTTTGGCAACTAGCTTAAATAAAATAAGTTTCTTTTTTATATTTGAATTTATTTTAGTTGATATTTATTTCAGGTAACAATAAAATCTAAAATTGATGGTTTTAGCTTGAGTTGACATAATCATGTAGATAAGAGTTATGCCAACAGATCATTATTGAGTTTAACAAGGCTCCTAATTTAAACGGGTCATATAATGAGAAATTGAAATTAAATAAGAGTTTAAAGCTGCCAAGAAGACCATTTACTGAAACTAAACAGCACATATGGCTCATTTCACAGTTTATTATATTATTTAGCTTCACCAAATACATTAACAAAGCACCGTTAATCATCTCACATGTTCACAGAAGTCTTAATGACACAGCTGCAAAAATGTTGTTTCATTCGAATGGAGAGAGGGCTGAAATGGTCATGAAACACTGAATGGACTGTTTGAAACCATTATTTTATATTGTAATAACATTTTGCAAGATTACTGTTTTTTTCTGTATATTTGATCAAATAAATGCAGCCTTGATGAGCAGCCTTCAAGAGACTTCTTTAAAAAACAAAGTCTTACTGATCCCAAACTTTTGAGCGGTAGTGTATGTGTGTATGTATATATAC